TTTTTGATTTGTTGTAGAGATGAGGTCTTGCCAAGTTGCCCAGGCAGGTCTCGAACCTGCAGGCTCAGGCAATCCACTCGCCTCAGCCTTCCAAGGTGCAGGATTACAGGCTAAGCACCGAGCCCGGCACCCTTTACATTTAATGTTAATTTGGGAGAGCTTTTTCTGCAGTTAGAGATGCTGAAATAAGGATTCAGAAAGGCCAGCAGTTGAAAACTGACCTGATCCCTTTATAGTAGTAACAGGTAATGTTAAGGTTTCTGTTCACAATAACTGTCTAAGCTTAAGGGGAGAGGTATTGTAAGTGGGTGGGAACAAACATGTGTCTAAAGCCACATTTATAGGTTTTGTTTTTGTGTTTAAACAGGGATCCCATGGTCAAGACAGATGAGGGGGTGGCAGCCCCAGTGAGTGGAGGTGCTGCCCGACTCCGATTTTTCTCCATGAAGAGGACAATATCTCAACAGTCATTTGATGGTGTCTCATTGGATAACAGTGGCCCCGAAGACCGGATTTCAGTGGACAGTGATGGCAGCGATAGCTTTGTGATGCTCTTGGAGTCTGGTATGTGGGAGCAGAGGCAGCCAAAGTTGGAGAAGTCCAGAAAGGGTTCTCTCTGCTGCTTGTATTCAGACTGAGATATAGACATTTTCTTAACCAAAGCAAAAACAAAATTAGTGGATTTGTGGCTCTGGTTTTATCTCTACATCTTCTAGGTTATTGGTTAATACTCGACATTTTTCACAGAAAGAAATTCAAACCAAAGGAGAAAGTACTAGTCTTACAATCATATAGCTACACCAAGTAGGATAGTTTCATGATTGGTATCAATGGTGTGAATATGATTGTTGTCTGTTTTTTTGCCTGTGTATTTTATTGTTGGAAAATAGCTTTTTGTCTACTGATAAAACAAGTAACTTTCTGTTTTTTTTTTTTGGAGTCGGAGTCTTGCTCTGTTGCCCAGACTGGAGTGCAGTGGCTGCTCCCGGCCACCGCAGCCTCGATCTGCTGGGCTCCGGCGATCCTTCCGCCTCAGCTTTCCAAGGAGCTGGAACTACAGGCGTGCGCTACCACGCCCGGCTAATTTTTTGATTTGTAGAGTTGAGGTCTCACCAAGTTGCCCAGGCGTGTCTCGAACCCCGCAGGCTTAGGCAATCCACTCACCTCAGCCTCCCAAAGCGCGGGATTACAGGATGAGCCACCGAGCCCAGCTTGTTATTATTTTTTTTAACTTCTTTTTTTCTTTTTTTGAATTGGAGTCTCACTCTGTCGTCCAGGCTGGAGTGCTGTAGCACACTTATGGCAACCCCAGTGTTGACCTGCTGGGCTCCGGCAATCCTGTTTCAGCCTTCCAAGTAGCCGGAACTATAGGTGCATGCTACCATGCTTGGCTACTTTTTTATTTTTTTGTAGAGAAGAAAGAGGTCTTGCCAAGTTGCCCATGCTGGGGTCTCGAACCCGCAGGCTCAGGCAATCCACTTGCCTCAGCCTCGTATAGTGCTGAGTCACTGAACCTGGCCTAATTTTAACTTCTTATGGAAAATTTCAAATATGTCTAAAAGTAGATAGAATTAGGCCAGGTGCTATGGCACATGCCTGTAATCCCAGCACTTTGAGAGGCTGATGCAAGAGGATTGCTTGAACCCAGGAATTCGAGACCAGCCTAGGCAACATAGTGAGAACTTGTCTCAACAAAAAAAAAATCTAACAATTAGCCATGTGTGTGTGTGCGCGTGTGTGTGTGTGCGCGCGCGTGCACGTGTGTGGTGGTATGTTGTCTGTAGTACCAGCTACTCAGGAGGCTGAGGTGGGAGGATTGCCTGAGCCCAGGAGGTCAAGGCTGTGGTGAGCTATGATTGTGCCACTGCTCTCCAGCCTGGGTGACAGTGACTTAAGAAAAAAAAGTAGGCCAGGAGCAGTGGCTCACACTTGTAATCTCAACACTTTGGGAGGCAGTGGTGAGAGGATCGTCTGCGCCCAGGGGTTTGAGACCAGCCTGGACAACTTGACGAGACCGTATCTCTATAATAAATCAAAAAATTAGCCAGGCGTGGTGGCAGGCACCTATGGTTCCAGCTACTTGGAAGGTTGAGGTGGAAGGATCACCTGAGCCCAACAGGTCAAGGTTGTGGTGACCATGAGCCTGCCACTGCACTCCAGCCTGGGTGATAGAGTGAGACTATGACTCATTTAAAAAAAAAAGTGGGGGTGGGGTGGGGTTGGCAGTTAAGGGAAACTGCTAGGGGAGGGAGAGGCATACCTCATCAGCAAGGGTACCTGCATGATCGATGTTTATATACCTAACCCTGAAATACACCCCACATCTTTATAATAAAAATTTAAAAAAAAAAAATAAAATTAAAAATTAATTAGTTAATTTAAAAAAGTGAAGCCAGGTGTGGTGGCTCATGCCTATAATCCCAGCACTTTGGGAGGCGGAGGTGAGAGGATTGCCTGAGCCCATGGGTTCGAGACCAGCCTGGGCAACTTGGCGAGACTTCATCTCTACAACAAATCAAAAAATTAGCCGAGCATATTTGGCGCTTGCCTGTAGTTCCAACTACTTGGAAGGCTGAGGTGGAAGGATCGCCTGAGCCCAGCAGGTTGAGGCTGCGGTGGCCAGGAGCATGCCACTGCTCTCCAGCCTGGGTGACAGAGTGAGACTCCCACTCAAAAAAAAAAAAAAAGTAGCAGAATCAAGTAATGAACCCTCATACACCTATTACATCGCTTCAGCATTGAAAACTCATGGCCATTTTTGTTTCATATATACTATTGCCCACTTTCCTTCCTTCCATATTATTTTGAAGCAGGTCCCAAACATATCCGTTAATCCATAAATATTTTTAGTTATGCATTGCTATAAAATACAGACTTACATTTTTTAAAAATTGTAGTAAAATACATAGAAAATACTCCATCCTAACCATTTTTAAATGTACAGTTCAGTGGCATTAAGTACATTCTGATTGTCATAGAATCATCACTACTATCTATCTCCAGGATGTTTTTCATCTTACAAAACTGAAATTCTGTACTTGTTAAACATTAACTCCCCATTCTCTTTCCCTCCAGCCCTGCAACACCTCTCCACTTTCTGTCTAAGAATTTGACTACTTTAGGTACCTCATATAAGTAGAATGATACAGCATTTATCCTTTTGTAAATGGATTATTCCACTCAGTATAATGTCTGCAAGGTTCTCCTATATTATAGCATCTGTCAGAATTTCCTTACTTTTTGTGGTTGAATAATGTTGCATTGTATGCATATACCAAATTGTTTATCCTTCCATACATGGATGGACATTTGGGTTGTTTCCATTTATAAACTTTTAAAAATGTGACCAGAGCTGGGTGTGGTGGCTCATGCCTGTAATTCCAGCACTTTGGGAGGTGGAAGTGAGAGGATTGCCTGTGCTCATGGGTTTGAGACCAGCCTGGGCAACATGGTGAGACCTAATCTCTACAATAAATCAAAAAATTAGCCAGGTGTGGTGGCGCACACCTGTAGTTTCAGCTATTTTGGAGGCTGAGGTAGAAGGATTGCCTGAGCCCAGCAGATCGAGGCTGTGATGGCCATGAGTCACTGCACTCCAGCCTGGGCAGCAGAGTTAGATTTAAAAAAAAATGTGACTAGATACCATCAGCACACTTAAAAAAAATAACAGTAATTCCTTAAATTCATCAAATATCCAGTAAGCCCTCAAATTTCCAGTTGTTTTATAAATGCCATAAATATTTTGTTTTATTTTTACAGTAGTCATTGTTTTTAGAGGTTGGGTTTATTTGAACAGAATAATTTGACTTTTGAATTTGATTTTCTCATCCTTATGCAGAGTCTGGCCCAGATTCTGTTCCCCCAGAATCTTTTTCAAATGTCTTGGATGATGCTGGTGTTCAAGGGAGCCCTGCTGTGGATAATTATGGCCAGGGGTCACCAGAGGCTCACAGCTCAGTTTCACCCAATGGAGAAGACCTCATCTTTCACCCGGTCAGCTGCTCTACTTTCTTCTCTGCAGAGGATAGGTTCTGGACTGGAAGCTTGGGACTTAGGGCTAAGAGAATCTCCTTTGACAGGTCTCGGTTCTGGTCCTGAAAGTCAATGAGGTGTCTTTTGGAATTGAGGTACGTGGTGAGGACCTGACTGTAGCCCTGCAAGCAGAGGAGCTGTCCCTCCAGCAGTTGGGCACCGTGGGACTCTGGCAGTTCCTGCGTGGACAGTGCCTGGGTGAGGATTGCGGTCATTCCAGGAGAACTGGTGATACTTATCTAGGGCAGCCATGGATTAATCTGCACTTGTCACTGTGCTCCAGCAACAGTCCCCAGTCTTTTTGGCATCAGGGATCAGTTTCAAGGAAGACAATTTTTCCATGGGTGGGGAGGTAGGGTAATGGTTTTGGGATGATTCAAGCGCATTACATTTATTATACACTTTATTTATATTATTATTACATTGTAATGTATGAGAATCTAATGCGCCGCTGAGCCGACAGAAGGTGGAGCTCATAAAGTAACGCGAGTAATGAGGAGTGGCTATAAATACAGATGAAGCTTTGCTCACTTGCCAACTGCTCACCTCCTGTGCTGCCCAGTTCCTAACAGGGCACGTTGGGGACCTCTGCTAAGGGCAGCACTCTAGTGCTAAGCTCTTAGTTCTTCTTTCCTGCAGCCATCATGAGAAGGAAAAACTCTCCAGTGAAGACTTTCTTACAAGGAGCCTTCCAGAGCTCTTTCTGTAGCTTTGCCCTCATTGTGCTATTTTCCATCTTGACTTCCCAGGTACTCCTTGAGCTTATGGATGAGGACAGTGTCCAATTCTTTGTTTTGTGGCTGCTGACACAAAATGTATCTGATCAGGGAAATTCTGTCATTCACATTCAATCCTTTGATGTGAATTACCATTTATAAAAGATGACAGGAGAAATCTGGGCTTATGTTACATGTTTTGTTTAAAACTTTTAATGAAGCTGAGCACGGTGGCTCATGTCTGTAATTCCAGCACTTTGGGAGATGAAGGCGAGAGGATTGCCTGATTCTAGGGGTTTGAGACCATCTTGTGCAACTTGGCAAGACCTTGTCTCTACAATAAACCAAAAAATTAGCCAGGCATGGTAGTAGTTCCAACTACTTGGAAGACTGAGGCAGAAGGATCGCCTAAGCCCAGCAGGTTGAGGCTGTGGCCTCACTACTATATAACGTTTTCACTACAACATAACATTTTATTATATAAATGCACCACTTTTTTGCTTTTAAAAACAATTTTATTGAGATAATTTGCATAGCATGAAATCCACTCATTTTAAGTGCACAATTCTGTAAGTTTTAGTAAATTTACAGAGTTGCATAGCTATCACCATAACCCAATTTTAGAACAGTTCCATCACTCTCAAAATATTCCTGTACTCATTACCCTGTTTACTTTTTTAGTCTATTTTGAACAGACATTTGGGATTTTTCCAGGTTTTTTTGCTATTTCAAATAGGGTTGGTGTGAACATCCTTGTACCTGTTTCCTAGTTTACATGTTTGAGAGCTTCTCCAGGGTTGCATTCTTTTTTGTTTTTTTGAGTGGGAGTCTTACTCTCTCACCCAGGCTGGAGTGCAGTGACACACTCACGGCCAACTCAGCCTCGACCTGCTGGGCTCAGGTGATCCTTCCACCAAGTAGCTGGAACTACAGGCATGCACCACCATGCTTGGCTAATTTTTTAAAAAATTTATTTATTGTAGAGACAAGGTCTCGCCATGTTGCCCAGGCTGTTCTCGAACCTGTGGGCACAGGCAATCCTCTTGCCTCTGCCTCCCAAATTTTTGGGATTACAGGCATGAGCCACCACGCCTGGCTATCTCCAGAGTTATATTTCTGATTATTTAATCTCTAGATCATTAGGGTAGTTGCAGCTTCAACTTTACTAGATAATCCCAAATTATTTTCCAAAATGGTTATTCTAGTTACCATAATATGTAAGTTGTCCATAGCCTTGGCTTCAACTGAGATTGTACTACATGGAGTTTTGGAGAGATAAGTACAGATTCTACTTGACTTTATTAGTGAGAGATGAGACCAAGACTCAGAGGAAAGAAGAGACATTTAATTAATTGTTTTCCTTGTCTTTCCTCACAAAGGTACATGCTTTCAGGAATCTTCCACTGTGAAGACTGGCCACATCAGGCCAGCTGTGGGCCTTCGCTTTGAGGTGGGGCCTGGTGCAGCTGTTCATTCCCCCCTTGCCACACAAAATGGCTTCCTGCATTTCTTGCTTCGCGACTGTGACCTTGAGATGCTCACTTCGGTGCTCAATGGCCTGGGTCCCTTCCTGGAGGATGAGGAGGTCCCAGTGGTAGTCCCCATGCAGATTGAGCTCCTGAACTCCAGCATCACCCTAAAGGTATAAGGAACTTTGGGGTTTTGTCGAGCAAGGGCAAATTGGTTTTTGCCCTGCACTTTGTCAAGCAAGCAAGCAGTGACAGCTCTTACCTCTTCCCATGTCACTGTAAACTGTGGTGAGGATCAAGTGAGGAAATGCATGCTAGCATTCTGTCAGTGTCATGGTGGTGTGTAAGTGTGTGTTTTTGTCAAGGAAGCCAGTGTTCAGGTGAGGAGACCTTGTCTTTAACCTTATCTTCATCTTTGGCATGCAGTTCTGTGTGCAAGCCATCAGGATATCTGATCCTCTGTTGCCCCATCTCTAGAATGGAAGAAACTCAGTTATGTCTCTCGTTCCTTCCAATACTGTATAGAGACACAGCAGCATAAAACTGCCTCAGGCAGAATGGCAGGAGCATGGGTTATGTGACCTAAGTTGGTTTGAGCTGCCTGGGGGCATTATGTGGTTTCCCTCTTTCCTGCAGGATGATATCCCCCCCATCTATCCAACGTCTCCAGGCCCTGTCCCCATCACTCTGGCCATGGAACATGTTGTGCTGAAGCGGAGTGATGATGGTGTGTTCCACATAGGCGGTGAGTCGGGTTTATCCGCCTGCTGGCTTCTCTGCCTTTTTTCTATAAATGACACCTAGGAACTGTCTGGGAGTTCGCAACAGTTTGTCAGTCGGACCTTTTACTTTTGAGACCAGACTGGGCAACGTAGTAAGATTCTATCTCTATAAAAGTAAAAATTAAGCCGAGCCCGGTGACTCAGCCTGTAATCCCGTGCCTTTGGGAGGCTGAGGTAAGTGGATTGCCTGAGCTACCTAGCTACTTAGAGACTGAGTTGGGAGGATCACTTGAGTCCAGGACTTCTAGGCTTCAATGAGCTATGATCATACCACTGCACTTCTGCCTGGGCATCAGAGTGAGACCTTGGCTCAAAAACAAAACAGACCAGGCATCGTGGCTCATGCCTCTAATCCCAGCACTTCGGGAGGCTGAGGTGAGAGAATTGCCTGAGCCCACGGGTTCGAGACTAACCTGGGCAACTTGGCAAGACCCCATCTCTACAATAAATCAAGAAAAATTAGCTGGTTGTGATGGCACATGCCTGTATTTCCAGCTTCTTGGAAGACTAAGGCAGAAGGATTGCCTGAACCCAGCAGGTCGAGGCTGCGGTGGCTGTGCGCATGCCACTGCCTTCCAACCTGGGCGACAGAGTGAGACTCCAATTAAAAAAAAAAAAAAAAACAACCAAAAACAAACAAACCAACAACAGTACTTTTTTTCCCAGCTACTGCTCAGGACAGACCAGCAGCTGAAGTACCTAAGAGTGAGAAGAGGCAACCCCCAAAAGAACAGGTGTTCCTGATGCCCACAGGAGAGGTTTCTGGACAGCAGGTGAGGACCTAACTAAATAATAACCTTCTTATAACCCTTAAGGGGCTGTAATTGCAAAACTGAGAAATCCCAGGGGGCTGAAAGATTGCTTGACTGTGTATAAGGAGGTTTGAGTTCCCGTCACCTAGCAGCAGCTTCAAGAAGTGCTGACTAGAGTATGTAAGTCAGGAGCTGGAGAAGAATGGTGGCTGGTCATGTACTTCATCTGTTGATGAACTCTGAAGAGGGAATTAGGCTCTTAAAAAAGATTTAGTTGAAGGCTGGGCATGGTGGCTCTTGCCTGTAATCTCAGTGCTTTGTGACGCGAAGGTGGGAAGATTGTTCTAGGCCAGACGTTTGAGACCAGCCTGGGCAACATAGTGAGACCCCCCTCTCTATTTTAAAAAATAAGATCTAGTTCTGTTTATCATTGATCTAGCTTGTGAATTTTTTTGCTTGAACTCTTCTTCTCTATTCACTTTACTGGCTGTTGTCGCAAGGTGGTATTACTATGCTCATGAACTGCGAATTGCTTATTGTTCCTCAGGTGAAAGAACTGCCTATCCTTCAAAAAGAACTTATCGAAACTAAACAAGCATTGGCCAATGCCAACCAAGAGAAAGAAAAACTTCTTCAGGAGATAAGAAAATATAACCCCCTCTTTGAGCTTTGAAAGCAGTGGCTCAACCATCTGTGCCAAGGAGAGACGAGATCACCAGCAATAGCACTACCTAGGACAGGAGGCACTGTCCAGTGTTGAATAAGTCTGCTACAAGTGACAGAGGGAATGGAGTGCTCAATTCACTTGTGTGTGTGCGCTTGGATGGAGGACAGGGCAAAGCATGACCACATCCCAGGAAACCTGGAAACTGGTTTGTGTGTGACTCTAGCATCACATCTTTCCTGTATAAAGCCTTTTGACCCTCTGCATACGGTAGGGCCATTTCACTTCGTGGTTTCATGGCAGGGACATCTGCTTTCTTCACAGCCTGTGTGAATAAGCGAAAGTACCCACCTCAGTCACCTATAGAGCCACCAAAGAGTCCATGTCTCAGAGCTTCCCACAGCAGATCTATAAAGCCCTTGACCTGAGCTTTGGCCCTGGTAGTGGAATGGAACAGAAAGCAGCCCAGCGGAGGAGGGGTAGGGGGAATGAGAGATACAAGAATAAAGGAGACCTGGACTCTGCATTTTTTGGAAAGAACCAAGCTCATGTCATCGTGACTGGCATTAAAAACAGATTTTTCAGGGTTAAACTTCCTTTCTGTTATAATTTCATCATTGTGATGCTGTGGCAGAAAGTAAACAACAGGAGTGGTTCAGCCATATCATCGTCCCCATCTATAACACAATTGATTTGAAATTTAAATCAAGGAAATGTATTTACCCTGAGCTAGGCTGAAGGCTTGATATGGTGGGATCAGTAGGATAACTTACTTCGGACCCACTGCCTGCCTAGGGTCCTGCCTGTCTTCCACAGCTGCACTGAGAGGTCGTTTCCTTCATCTCCTTGGGGTCCCTGGCACATCTACTTTCCCAGCATTGTGACTTTCTACCATGGCTGTCCTCAGCACTTGGTGTTTGGGAGCTGAAAATAGGTTTTAAACTTTAACCTAAACATCTCAACTTTTTGCCTCTCACTTCCCCCATCACTGTAAAAACTAATCATCAGCCAGGCTTAGCCTGTAATCCCAGTACTTTGGGAGGCTGAGGTGAGTGGATTGCCTGAGCCCGTGGGTTCGAGACCCACCCGGGCAACTTGGTGAGACCTTGTCTCTACAATAAATCAAAAATTAGCTGGGCATGGTAGCGCGTGCCTGTAGTTCCATCTACTTGGAAGGCTGAGGCGGAAGGATCACTGGAGCCCAGCAGGTCAAGGTTGCATTGGCCGGGAGCGTGCCACTGCACTCCAGTCTGGGCGACAAAGAGAGACTCCAACTCGGAAAAAAAAAAAAAAAAAATGTCGTCAGGCTCGGTGGCTCAGCCTGTAATCCCGCGCCTTTGGGAGGCTGAGGTGAGTGGATTGCCTGAGCCCGTGGGTTTGAGACCCGCCTGGGCAGCAAGACCTCATTTCTACAATAAATCAAAAAATCAGCCGGGTGTGGTAGCGCATGCCTGTAATTCCAACTACTTGGAAGCCTGAGGCAGAAGGATCGCTGGAGCCCAGAAGGTCTACACTCCAGTCTGGGCGACAGAGTGAGACTCTAACTCAAAAAAAAAATAAAAAAAGTAATTTTGAACTAAGTGCAGAAAACAAAAACCCTTCAATCCCCACTAGGCTTTTCCCCTGCCCTACATAAGAACTGTTTTTCCCCTTTCCCATCTGATTCTTCTCCAACACTGTACCTTCATTCATTCTACCCTGGGATACACTTCAGTCTGTGTTGATTGAACAGAAGCTCATCAGCTAACTTATATTTTACTTGGCAAGAAGGTAAAATAGTGACTTAGTGATATCACTAAAGTCTTGATCACACATGACCTATGGAAGGAAAGGTAAAAGGTTTCTTTTATGGGAAATCATGTTTGACTCTCATATTCTAGTTTTATGAGGATAAAAGGAAACATGTATTCATGCAAGGACAAGTTCAGACTTTTAAAGAACTTTTGTCAATTTTCTTCACTAAGGCAATTTTTAAAACACCAGTTACTATGAGATTTTGAGAATATGCTTAGGCAGTAGAGACTTAGGAATAAAGAAACATCTTTCTGGAGAGAATGTTAACAGAGGAAGTACCTAAGGGTTGATGCTTGGTCCAGTCTTATCTAGGATTTTTGTAAACAACCTGAAAGTAGGATTTTACAATGAAATCAAGTATCACTACTTTCAGACAGTGAACGTTAGACTAGACAAAACCCAGAAGGGTTATAATAAGCAGGGCCGTGAATGCTTAGACAAGTGACAGGTGAGGTTCAGCATAGTAAGAGTAAGGAGATGTGTTCATGGAAGAACTATCACTGATAAGGCAGTGAGCTCTGTTGGAACTCAGGAAAGAAGCTGAAGCACTGGGGAAGGAGGAGAGATCTATGAGCTGCTGGGGCCAAAAGCCTAACTCTCCTGTAGGCATCATCATCAAGTGCTCTTGGAGACAGCACAGAAAAATGGTTTCATACAAAGCCATTATGTCTTAATCCAATTGTCTGTGCATTTCTGGTAACTTAACTTACAAGCACTTCTCATAGCAAGTCAGAAACAAGGAGCTCACTGTCCAAGAAGTTGTGTAAAACCTCAAGGGTGGGCACAGAAGGTTTAAGAGGAATCCTTGTGTGATGGCCTCCCAAAAGATAAGCAGGGCTATTTGGTGATGGATGGCTGTGAGGGTAATGGTGTCCCTCCACAACTACCCCATCATACTTCTTTCAAAGGCAGAGTGTTGAACTGAACGGATCTCTGGTCTTAGGTGCGTCATCTCTAAGTTCTTGGATGGGGAAGAAGGGAGATCCAATAGCCAGAAAATAGAATTATTCAACCTTAGGATCAGCTGAATTGGTTTAAAATCATGTTCCCTTACTCCCTTACCCACCCTAGGCCTCTGGCATCTCCCCATGCAAAGAAAATGCCTCACAGCCATTGCTTGGCATAGCTTTACCTTAGCTTATGCTTGGGGGAAGGCATATACTGAGACTGCCCCTAATGTCCAGAGCTCAGTGAAGTTTCTGGGCTCTCTGATGGAGTCTGGAGCCCTTGTCTTGTGACAAGTGGAGTCCTAGACTTTCTGGCTTTCCTTAAATGGCAGCTTTGCCATTGTATCTTGAAATCCTCCCTCAGGAATGTGGTAAGGGTCACCATCCCATAGGATCCTAGTAAAATTCAGCTTGCATCATTTTGTACTCTCATTTATCGGGGTAAGAAAGACTTTTTCATAATGAAGAAATGTGAACTGGTGGTAGTCCTCAGAATAAGTGCAGAGGAACATAATGGAAGGAAAAATAGTCATGTCAGCCCTTTTGGACTGCATATGATTTCTGCCTTGGAACTGCAGGACTCTGAACAAGAAATACAATACCTCAAGAAAATGTCTGGAGAGATAGCACCGCTATCCCTCAAAGACTTCTGCCGCTGCACATTACCACTTCAGCTGTGAAGCATTTACAACTGTGTATTCTCTGTGATTGTCCAGATTTCCTGTTTACATGGATGGATGTACTGGGGATATGCTTTAGTGCATATGAACTGGAGTTTAAATCTTCTCTTTAACCGGGCTGCGGGGATGGCTATCAATCTCAAATTGTTTTCAAGATGCTGAAATAATTAGCCTAGTTCTCCTGATATAAGACAGGAGTGAGTTCTATTCACGTGGCTGCTTTTGCCACACATTCAATCTGACCCTTGTTTTGCCTTGGGCCTCGACCTTGATGCCCCCTTTTCATGGTTCTGAGAGGATGGTTCCTGGGCATGAAATAAAGGAAGGGTAAACACCACCCCTCACACACTCCATCACTTAGATGCTTCCTTTTAACTCACATCACTTTCCCCTCAGAGGGAAATGGGTGGGGGATGGTGTTGGAAAGAGGGTAGTTTGAAGTATCGCCATACTATATATATATGGTGACTTTCCACTCCAGACTTTTACATCAGGGTTTTTTTCTCACCTATTTAATACTTGCCTCACTAAACTTCGAAACTGGTTATAGTTAAATCACAAAACTCTGGAAACAAATGAGCTTTGCTACATAATGTAGTACTGATATCTGGTTACCTAAGAACTGTAAAAGCTGTTTCCTTGCCTCCTGACGCCTCGTAGTCATCATCAAGGGTTTCAGAGAGAATCAGGTGTGAGACACTATTCCTTTCAGAAACGAAGGCCTTTACCTGGTTGCCCCCTCGCCTTCTGCCCGAAAAGGAATATTGGGCAGTAGCTGTTATTGCATGAGGCATTTTTCCCCATGGCACGAGAGAAACACTCGGATAACCTTTAACAGTGAGGCTTTGCTGAATGGATAGACTTGGGATTTAATCTTCCTCCCTTATTACATACTAAGTTTCAGCCTTATTCAAGATCTCTAACTGCAATAGGTACAGTTCCTAACTGTTTAAGAAATTACTGTCAGAGCTGAGAATATTTTTTTCTTGTCTGTTTATTGGTTTTCGGTCAAGATTTAGCCTGAATCTTAATGCATTTCTTTGTGGAATGCCCCGCTGAAGTGTCTTCTCCACTGGCTAAGTACATGTTTAAAGCCACGGGTTTTAATGTAAGATACTCAACTGCCCAACTTCATGAGTCCAAGCTGTTTCCCCCATTCAGGGTGCTAAACAGAACTGGAATCTTCTAAGACATGCTCAGGAAAGCTTCAAAACAGAACAGCTTCAAAACCCTTCTCCCTATGACAATGGTAGAGAGGAAAGAACTCTTGGGGATTGCCAATTACATACAGTAGCCTTATTATTGCTAATCACTGTCAACAAACGGTCACTTCATTCCGCTCTATTTGAGAAAACCTATGAGAATGTATCTCATGAATTGGAATCCTGGTCAGTATTGGGAAAATTTAATGTCGCAATATCTAATCAAACCTTGAGTGTACTGGTTCTGTGAACCACCTGAAAAAAAGCAAATTAAACTTATTAAACAATAATGGCTGTGGTGTATCTGTTTTTAAGAATCTGAAATACATGGGCTTTTACATTGTTTTTAACAGTGATTGAGGCAGACAGCAGACACTGCTGTCTTGCCCATGGTATCCTTCACAGTATAGCTTCTCGATAATAAATCTACCTTTCTTGGCCAGGCTTGGTGGCTCAGCACTTTGGGAGGCCAAGGCGAGTGGATTGCCTGAACCCGTGGGTTCAAGACTAGCCTGGGCAACTTAGCGAAACTTTGTCTCTACAATAAATCAAAAATTAGCCGGGCGTGGTAGTTCCAGCTACTTGTAAGGCTGAGGCGGAAGGATCGCTGGAACCCAGCAAGTCAATGCTGGGGTGGCCATTAGCATGCCACTGCACTCCAGCCTGGGCGACGGAGTGAGGCTACAACTCAAAAAATAAATAAGTAAATCTGCCTTTTTTTTTTTTTTGAGAAAGCAGGGTTTATTGAGGACAGAAAAGTTCCCATGAAGGGGTTGCCCAAATCCACCTTTCTTAATTAAAAAAAAAAACCCAAAAAACAGTGATTGAAGTATTTTAATGATATATCAGACAATGGGAAGCGCTCAAATGTTCTTTTATAGCAAAGCCAAGACCAGTTATATTGGAACACAAAAAAGAGTGATGAACTCCCCATTCAAACCAGCTAGACAGGTAATTAATATACATATAGCAAATTGGAAACCAATTTAATGATCACTCACCAAAATCCACGGGAGAAGCTAAATGTGTATAAGCACAGACCCCTCTGCTACTCCTAATACTGCATCTTTTATGTTAGGGTACCACAAGTAAAAAGTTTCTGGTTGCTTCCTCTACTTATAATAAGATGTGAGAAACAACTTAAGTCTTAGCAACTTCAGGCTTCAATGTGAAACCTTCAAAGCTCTCTTGGAAAGATTTTGTCTGTCTAAAACCAGCCAAGAGACAAATACCCTGAAATGCCTTAAGAGGTCCCCAAATTTAGTCATCAAGGCAAGTACGAAGGAGGCTGCACACCCTGTAGGCATGACAAATATCAGAGTTTTGAGAAAGACATTAAAATCATGGAGTCCTTGGAGGATTGAGACACAAGCACCAATGCAGAACATTTCATGAAACAGGAAGTCTGGAGCCAGTTCTTCCATCAGTAGTAGGCCTTTCTAGACTCTGGACTAGAAGAAGATGATTTTTTTGTGCTTCGAGTTGGGGATCTGTCCCTTTGACTTTAGCCTTCGAACAGCTTCTCTCATATGTTTGGGTTGGAGCGGTGGCATTTCTCCCCACTTCTCACACACATCCAGTGCTAAACAGAGGGCAAGGAGAAAGTTTCATTACATGCAAGAACTTATTAATCACATAATCCTTTTGAGTCCTGTAATTCTCATTAACCTTTCTTAAGCTTGCTAAGGAAATAAACCAAGCCATTTTTTTCCTTCTTAAGAGAATGCTGTAAAATGTATCATTAGCTTTAGTATAATCATAGATCAGGCTTTATCACAGACAACAGTTTAAAACATATCTCCTGCTTAAAAAAAGATTTCACCATCTAGAGATTAGCAATGGGAAATGGGCAGGCTTTTTACTCAATAGAGGGGACAATTCTAGGGGTCACAACAACAGGGACAACTCACCATACCCCACAGGTCAGCCCTGGTGATGGCTTTTCTTGTATCTTTACTTTTGGCAGCAGAAATGAGCAAAGTCCACTGTTGAAAATACAAGTCTGCTTCTGTCACCCTGGGCTGAGGACATAATCAGGGAGGAGGATTTCCCAAATGGTGCTGTCCCCTCATTATTTAAACTGTCAAGGAACAATGGTCATGTTGTCCTGAATACAAGATTCCCCACTTGGCCTACTCCTGGTGTAAATGGAAACTCCCACATGTGCTTTAATAAGTTCGTTAGTATTGATATCTTGTCTCTTTTTTTTTTCTTCTCAGTCATTATCTTGCTCTGTTGGAGTGCAGTGGCACGCTCACAGCCACAGAGCCTCAACCTGCTGGGCTCAGGCGATCCTTCCATCTCAGCCTCCCAAGTAGCTAGAACCACAGGCTAGTATAGATATTCTCAAAAAATAAGACCATCATGAGTACAATCCGGTGTTTGTAACCAACACTACTCACCTTCTTCAACCACCTCCCCGACGAAAACCTTGGAAATACCAGACATAGCAATAACAACATTCTGAGACACAGAGGTGCCAGTGATGGACTGGATCAGCTTAAAAGAAAGACAAAGACTGTGATTAAGATAGTCAAAGGATGGCTTTGGGATACCGTACCAATAAATGAGCTCTGCATAGAGAAAGGTCAGATAATTGAGGGGCATGTTGTTTTTATTTTCCCACCTACCTGATTCACCAATGTGCCTAACACCTCATTTCAAAATGCCAATGGGCATAGCTCTTAAGTCTGGTTTGATCCTCATGTATGATGGAAATGAAGTGTGGTGGTCCATCCTTACCCTTTTAATAGCTGCCTTAGGGAAAGCCGATCGGCGATACATTTCATAACGGTTCAGCTGCTCCTCAGAAAAAGAGGAAACCAGAATTCTAAACAAAGATTCAGGTAATTAAGTTAGCTTATAAGAATGTTCAACATATATACATATATATTTTGAGACAAAGTCTCACTGTCACCCAGGCTGGAGTACAGTGGCATAATCACCACTCATTGCAGCCTTGACCTCTTGAGGCTCAAGTAATCCTCCTACCTCAGCCTCCTGAGTAGCTGAGACTATAGGTGCCTAGGCTGGTCTCAAACTCCTGGGCTCAAGCAATCTTCTCTCTCACCTAGGGCTTCCAAGGTGCAGGGATCACAGGCGTCAGTCACCATATATGTATGTTATTAAGTCAAGAAAAGCAAGTCTTCAGACAAAGAAAAAAATGAGTTCTTTGGGGGCTGGTCAATGGCATTAGGCCTGGTGCTTATGAGGAATGGAGCTAAAATAACATTTCATGTTTCTTGAGAAAACATGAAATACAACTTTTTTCTTCCCTATTAAGAACAAAAACGTAAACAGCAATGTTGGGTCACTGTATCATAATATATAGATGGTGTTTTCAGCATTAGGCTTTCTCTGTCTCCATAACTCTGCCTCATTTGGAAGAGTCGCTTGAGTCCTGGGCAACACAGTGGACCTCATCTCTACAAAAAAAAAATAAAAAAATTAGCCAGGCGTGGCGCTGCATGCCTATAGTCCCAGATACTTGGGAGGCTGAAGAAGAAAGATGCCTGAGCCCAGGAGGTCAAGGCTGCAGTGGGAGCTGTGATCATGCCATTGCACGCTGGCCGGGCAACAGAGTGAGATCACAACTCAAGGAAACAAAAAACAGCCGAGCTCGGTGGCTCAGCCTGTAATCCCGCGCCTTGGGAGGCCGAGGTGAGTGGATTGCCTGAGCCCACAGGTTCGAGACCCACCTAGGCAACTTGGTGAGCCCTCATCTCTACAATAAATCAAAAAAATTAGCCAGGTGTGGTAGCACGTGCCTGTAGTTCCAGTTACTTGGAAGACTGAGATGGAAGGATCGCCGGAGCCCAGCAGGTCGAGGCTGCGTGACAGAGTGAGACTCCGACTCAAAAAAAAAAAAACAAGCATAACTCTGCCTTACTGTATTTCATATTGCGGTAAAATTTTAATATACAAATTTGTTTTCAACATTAAATGGCTAATACTCTTTTTTTTTACCCATTTATTGAGCATATACTGTGCTGTGGAGATACGAGAGAGAACTAAGCTCAGACCCTATGGGCCCTTAGAGGAGATATAGGAGGAGGTGAATGACAGCCCCCTGGGGGAACTAATCATTACCTTCTCAGGGCCCTGTAGACACAAGTGGTTATATATTCATACTTTATGGCTCTGTGACTCTTATTATAGAATTAATTCTTCCAAATAAATAGAAAGATGGCTGTATCAACTTTAGAAAATGAGCAAAAGACATGAACAGGTAATTTATAAGAATACCAATGGTTGGCCAGGCTCGGTGGCTCAGCCTGTAATCCTAGCACTTTTGGAGGCTGAGATGAGTAGATTGCCTGAGCCCACAGGGTTGAGACTAGCAGTCGCCTGGGCAACTTGGCGAGACCTCGTCTCTACAATAAATCAAAACTTAGCTGGGTGTGGTAGCACGCGCCTGTAGTTCCGGCTACTTGGAAGGCTGAGGTGGAAGGATCGCCAGAGCCCAGCAGGTTGAGACTGTGGTGGCCGACAGGCATGCCACTGCCCTCCAGACTGGGTGACAGAGTGAGAGTCCGATTCAAAAAAAAAAACAAAGAATACCAATGGTTAACATAGAGGTAAAAAAATTAACTTTTAATTATTAACTAAGAAAATTATATCCTAAAACAAGATAACATTTTTCATAAATAGATAATGATAAAAAAGAATGGTATTGGTGGGACTGTGGGACACAAATTCATATAGCCAGCAGTGTGAACTGGAAGACCTTTGGAAATACATAGGAAAAGCCTTTGAAAATGTTTATACTGTTTGAGCTAGCAATTAGACTTCTAGGAGTTTATCTTAGGAAGTAATGGACAAGTATGCAAGGATATGTTCAAAGATACTCATCAGAGATAATATCAAAGAAAAAAACCCAATCAGAACAGCTACAGAAAGTGGTTAATTGATGGTCCATCCACATAATAGGATATGAAGTCATTAAAAATGATGCTTTAGGGACATGAAAATATTTCTTTCTCTCTCTCTCTCTCTCTCTCTCTCTCTATATATATATATATATATATCTCAAACATTTAAAACATTTTTGAAAAAAAATTCAAATATATATTGATATTAGACTAAGCTGGAAAGAAAATTAAAAAAAAAATCTCTGAGTGATGGGCTTATGGGTAATGTTTTTTTTTTCAGTGAGTTCATACTACTTTTACAAACAGGAAATATAATAAAGTTACTTCCATTTTTACAAAAATTATGACCTAGACATAGAATTACTGACGTAGAAAACATTCACCATATATAATGTGAAAAACAGGTTACAAAACAGTATTTGACATTTAAAAGCTAGGGGTGGTGGCTCACATCTGTAATCCCAGCACTTTGGGAAGCAGAGGCGAGAGGATTGCCTGAGCCCAGGGGTTTGAGACCAGCTTAAACAACTTGGTGAGACCTCCCTCATTTCTATAATAAAGCAAAAAATTAGCTGGGCGTGGTAGCACACGCCTGTAGTTCCAGCTACTTGGAAGGCTGAGGCCGAAGGATTGCCTGTGCCCAGCAAGTCGAGGATGTGGTGGCCGTGAGCGTGTGTGCCGCTCCATTCCAGCCTGGGTGACAGAGTGAGACTCCAACTCAAAAAAATAATTATTTTTATTTTTGAGTTGTGGAGTACAAGTGGGCATTTATTACATAAGTAGGTGAAGTTTGTTCTTGTAACTGGCCCTCTCTTCCCCTTATAGTGGACCAGGTACCCAGTGTGTCATCACGTGCCCCGCCCCTCCACCTTCCTCTCCTAGTAGTCTCCAATATTTGACATTTTTTCTTTCTTTTTTTTGAGTCGAGTCTCACTCTGTCACCCAGGCTAGAGTGCAGTGGCATGGTCACAGTAACTGCAACCTCATCCTGCTGGGCTCAGGTGATCCTTCTGCTTTAGCCTTCCAAGTAATAGGCATATGCTACCACACCTGGTTGATATTTTGATTTATTGTAGAGTAGAGATGAGGTCTGGCCAAGTTGCCCAGGCTGGTCTGGAACCCCTGAGCTCAGGCAATCCTCTCACCTCCACCTCCCATAGTGCTGGGATTATAGGCAGAAACCATCTTGAAAAATGAATATACATTAAGATATGAACAGTGTTTATCTCTTGGTGGTAAGGTGATTTTTTTCTTTTTACCTATTTATATATTTATACTATAACATAATGTATTAATTGCTTTCTTTTCTTTTTTTTTCTTGTCACCCAGGCTGGAGTTCAGGGGTACGCCCATGGCCACTGCAGCCTCGACCTGCTGGGCTTAGGTGATCTTTCCACCTCAGCTTTCCAGGTAGCTGGAACTACAGATGCACACCACCATGCTCGGCTAATTTTTTTGTGATTTATTGTAGAGGCGAGGTCTCACCAAGTTGCCCAGGCTCCTCTTGAACCCCTGAGCTCAGGTAATCCTTTCGCCTTGGCCTCCACTTCCCATAGTGCTGGGATTACAGGCTGAGCCACCGCGCCTGGCCCAAATTGCTTTATTTTCTTTTGAGTTTAAAAAAGAAAAAAAATGTAAAGACCAAGAAAAAAAAATTAAATGTATGTGGTCAAGTTAGAGTCTTAAAGTGGGAAATGATAAGAAAGTAACTTACTGCATCTTCTGAATCTCATCTTCATCTACTTTCTGCTTCTTCTCTTTCTTTTCTTTGGTATCTATTTTCAGTTTTTTTGCTGCAGGAGTAAGTAATGATGAGTCTTCCCTTTCAACTGCTGTTAAATCTGAGACATCCTGACTCTTGAGCTGGGAAGATGAAAGAAATCCTATTATATATTTGGCCTACTTTCCAGGCTTGGGCAAGGTAAGAAGACATCATCCTCATTACAGAACAACAAATCCATTTATTGAGTAGTTTTTCGGTTCCAGGCACTGACTGTACCATCAAGTATAAGGTATAGTTTGTCTCCTAAAGAAGGATTATAGCTCAACTGTGGAAAGAAAAACAGCTAAATAATCCAGTTTTCCAGTTCAGCTATGATCACAGCTTCAGCATCTGTCTACAAGGTTAACGAAATGCCAAGGATCATGAAAAGCACTCTTTCCTGGGCCCACTCTTCTGACCTCATTCTTTAAAGGGGATGTCAGCAAAGTCTTCTCCGTCCAGTCAGCTCTTTTTTTTTTTTTTTAGTGTGAGTCTCATTCTGTCTCCCAGACTAGGAGTGCAGTGGCACGCTCACGGCCACCGCAGCCACGACCTGCTGGACTCGGTGATCCTTCTGCCTCAACCTTCCAAGTAGCTGGAACTACAGGCGCGCGCTATCACGCCTGACTTATTTTTTTATTTATTGTAGAGACAAGGTCTCACCAAGTTGTCCGGGCTGGTCTTGAACCCCTAAGCTCAGGCAATCCTCTCATCTCATCCTCCCAAAGTACTGAGATTACAGGCTTGAACTACCACATCCAGCTAATTTTTTTGATTTATTGTAGAGACGAGGTCTCGCCAAGTTGCTCAGGTTGATTTTGAACCCCTGAGCTCAGGCAATCCTCTGGCCTTGGCTTCCCACAGTGCTGGGATTACAGGTGTGAGCCACTGTGCCCAGCCCAGCCAGCTTTTCTGCCTCCAGATCTATAGAGCTCTTTATTGCTGATAATTCCATATGGAAAGGAGGCTTGCTCTTATCAAAACAGTGTTTATTTCAATTTGGAACTTTTTTTTTTTTTTTGAGTTGGAGTCTCACTCTGTCGCCCAGACTGGAGTGCAGTGGCCGCTCCCGGCCACCGCAGCCTCGACCTTCTGGGCTCCTGTGATCCTTCCACCTCAGCCTTCCGAGTAGCCGGAACTACAGGCATGTGCTACCATGCCCGGCTGATTTTTTTTTTTAATTTATTGTAGAGATGAGGTCTCGCTGCCCAGGCGGGTCTCGAACCCGCGGGCTCAGGCAATCCACTCACCTCAGCCTCCCAAAACGCAAGATTACAGGCTGCTGAGCCACCGAGCCCGGCTCAATTTGGAACTTTTAAGTGTGCTTTTTAGATACAGTGCTTCTCTGTTCTTATCCTTCAACCCTACTATATCATGCAAATATTTATTTCCCATTATTAGACTTTTTAAAGATAGATTTGTCTCTTATTATTTATATCTCTTCCCCATCAGTATTTAACAGTTTTACTTGTGCTTAGTAAATGCTTGTTTAATAACAACAAAAATTAAATCAAAATTTCATCCCTTTTAACCTAATGTAGAATCCTAAGGTACTACAAAACTCATTCATGAGATTTTTTTTGTTTTGTTTTGTTTTTTTGAGTTGGAGTCTCACTCTGTCGCCCAGACTGGAGTGCAGTGGCCGCTCCCAGCCACCGCAGCCTCGACCTGCTGGGCTCCGGCTCAGCCTTCCGAGTAGCCGGAATTACAGGCATGCGCTACCACGCTCGGCTGTTTTTTTTGATTTATTGTAGAGATGAGGTCTCACCAAGTTGCCCAGGCGGGTCTCGAACCCGAGGGCTCAGGCAATCCACTCACCTTAGCCTCCCAAGGCGCAGGATTACAGGCTGAGCCACCGAACCCAGCTGACAACTTTTTCAATTTCTTTCTAGTTATTGATTTATACAAGTTTTCTAACCTCTTTGTGCTTCAATTTTGGTGATTTATATTTCCCTAAAAAAATGCTTGTTTTTCTTAGATTTTCACATTTATTTGGCTAAAACTTGAACATTAAATTTTCTTATAACTTTAAAGATCACCGTATCAGTGTCTTTGGCTCCCATCGCCACCCCCCCCCCCCCTTTTGAGTTAGTCTTACTCTGTCACCCAGGCTGGAGCCAGTGGCACACTCACAGTCACCATCGCTTCGACATGCTGGGCTCAGGTGATCCTTCCGCTTCAGCCTTCTATGCAGCTGGAACTAGAGGCATGCACCACCAGGGTCAGCTAATTTTTTTTGGATTTACTGTAGAGATGAGGTCTCACCATGTTGCCCAGGCTAGTCTTGAACCCCTGGGCTCAGGCATTCTCCTGTCTCTGCCTCCCCAAGGGCTGAGATTACAGGCATGAGCTATTGTGCCTGTCCCCTTTCTTACTTTATAATGTTGTACATTTACATTTCAAATAACCAAGTCTTAATTTTATCTACTTTATCCTTAGTAACTCCTTGTGCTTACATTCTTCTGGTTTTCTTTGTTCTTTTTCTGGTTTCTTGAATTGGATGCTTATTTTCATTATCTTTGTTAATAAAAATAGTATTTTTTAAAATTTAAATAAGGCTTTGGTCATATCCCATAGAATTTGATATAGTGTTCTCTCTACTAATTTCTTTAGTCTGAGGGCTATGTAAAAACTAGTTTAAAATATCCATGTGGTTAGTTGTGTTCTTGGGGGGGAGAAGCTTTTTGTTGTTAACTTCAGGTTTATTGTATTGCATTAACAAGATGTGGCCTGTTATTTCTACTTTCAAGGGTTTATGTCTTTCTTTGTAGTCTATACATGACGAATTTTTAAAAGTATTTCAGAAGCATCATGATTTTATCCTTTGTTGAATGCAGATTTCTATATGTAATGTGCTCTCTAGTGTACTAAGCTAATCATTCAAATCCTTTTTGTCCTTGAGACCTGTTATAAAAAATTTTTTTTAAATGGTTTTGTCACATTTTTCTCTTTCCTAAAAGTTCTTATTTCATATATTTTGATGAAGTAAGAAATTTATGGGCTGGGTGTGGCGGCTCACACCTATAATCCCAGCACTTTGGGAGGCTGAGGTGAGAGGATTGCCTTGAGCTCACAGGCTCCAGACTAGTCTGGGCAACTTGGTGAGCTCTCATCTCTACAATAAATCAAAAAATTAGCCAGGCGTGGTGTGCGTGCCTGTAGTTCTAGCTACTTGGAAGGCTGAGGCGGAAGGATCACCTGAGCCCAGCAGGTTCGAGGCTTCGGTGGCCCTGAGCATGCCACTGCACTCCAGCCTGGGCGACAGAGTGAGACTCCAACACACACACACACACACACACACACACAGTGAGACTCCAACACACACACACACACACACACACACAATAACTTTATGCTCTGAAAGTCTATTTCCATCTAATCTAATGTTCACTTATGATCTCTTAAGTTGCATCTAGCTCTAAGAGCTCAAGATGCTCCGTCTAGAATGGAACCCAGAGAACCATGGGTTCTCGTCCCCGACTGATGCTCAGCCAGGCAACACCGCTGAGCTCTTCGGGTGGCACATTGGATGCGTTGGGTGTTTTTGTGTTATAGAGACCCCTGAACATCCAGGTCACTGGTAGCAGTTAAATGTGCTAAGAGCATAAGAACTAGATTTAACCTGCACAACAGAACTGATTGACTCTGCCGCCTATAAAGACGAAAGTTGTCTTAAACAACATTTAAGAGGCACCATATTGCAGTGAGAGGGGTGCTAGGAATCTGGGGTTTTAGTTCTTGCACTAAGTCTCCGACTGTCATCGGACCCCAATTTCCTCACCAAGAAAGCCAAGAGGCTAGTTCCAATTCCCTTAGCAGTAGCTTTAATTCCTAAAGGCAGAGATTAAAAACATTAACCCAGTGGCTGGGCCTCTGGAACCGAATCAACACTAACGTTTTATTTTGTCGTCTCTCCCCTTCCTCCTGACGGTTGAAGATCTGGAAGGAGTAACGGTGAGGTAGATTTCTCGTAGTTTGGGAGGGACTAAGCGGGACGCCCGACGAGCAGCCAGCCACACACTCTCGGACAACACGTCCAGCCTCATCAACACTTTTCCTACCTCGCCTTCCTCCGCGGCAGCTTCTTTCGAGTCTGCTTCTCCGTCTCCCTCAGTTTCCTCTGGGATTCCGTCCGTGTCGGTAGTCCCCGGGTCCCCGGGAGCAGCAGCCGGCTCATCTGACTCGCCCGTCTCTCCACCTTTGTCCGTGGGCGACTCGCGGGCGTTGTCCATAGCGGACAGGACCCGAGGGACGCGGAGATCGCGGCGCTGTCAGACGCAGGAGCTCGGTACCTGGAGCTGCACAGTGGCCGGGAACTCACTTCCTGTCGTCGCACGGCGATGACATCACCCCTACCGCTCTTCGGAGGGGTCAGCTTGAGTCGCGCGTAGAGGACTCGCGGGCTTCGTTTTAACTTTAGTTTGGTGACAGGTGGGAGCGGGAAAGTTGGGCTTGCGGAGTTTACAGCGTGCTTCCTCCTCGCTAGGAAACCAGCACTTGCAGTTTCGTTTCCCAAAGGACTTTCTTTTCCTTTTCGCCTTTTTGACAGTGCCATGCTAGCTAACCCCCTCCTTAACCCGTCTCCCTCGGAGTAAAGTTGGGGGACAGGGGAGAAAACTCAGTTTCGTCTTGTGCCGGTGTCGGGGAATGCGGCTCCCTGGGATTGGTCAACTCAGGCGGGCACTCAACCTTGTATATTTCCGCCGGACGGACACCGCGGGCCTGTGATCCCGTTCAGTTGTCAGCATTTCCCTTCCATCCCGCGAGCACTTTAAAAGAAGCTTGAGCAGAATTTATCCAATCCGAGTATTCTCTCCACGGTGATACCGTAGAGTTAGAAACAGGGAACACAACAAACATAGTTTCTACCCAAATGACTTATTTCGGTTCACTGGTACTCAAGATTGGGGTTGGTTTCACAAACCTGACACTTTTATGCCAGTTTGGACTGAGAGGAAACCCTACAGAGAGCGAGGTCTCTCCTCTGAACGTTTCACTTCAGTGAGCCATTTCATGCATTGATTGGGAGGATGAAGTGGCGAGGATATTTTGAACGTTTTTCCCTCTCTTCCCTCATTGAGGTACGAGGGGGAGGGCGTTGATTCACCTCTGTATCACGAGGTCTCCTCGCCTAGCACATGTTTCATTTATGCGTGCTGAAAGAATTGGAAATGTAGGTGTGCCTCCCATAGGTCCCTCTTTGTTTTTCCACGATCTACCGTATTTCCTGTCCCAGGAGCTCCCAAAACCCTTGGGGAAAGCTGCCTTTAAGGAGGCTCGTACAGGTGGGCCTGTTTGTCGCCTTCCACCTGTACAATGGGAACCTACACGGTGCCGTCCCTTTGCCCTCCCAGCCACCTGACTGGGCACAGCGAGGCCCACCTGCGCCGGTCCGCGGAGCCCCGCCCAGCTAGGTGAGCAAGGGGGCGGGGCGCGGGGGCGCGGGGGCGCGGTGACGCGTGACGCCGGATCCCGGAAGTGACGCGCTCGTGGGGAAAAGGCGGGGGGGAGGGGGGTGGTGTCCCCGGCCGGTTTGGGGGGTGCGTTGCCCGGAGACGGAAAGTTTGGGAGCCCGTGCAGGCTCG